CAATGTATGTATGTGTGAGAGAGTGGCTGAGTGAGTTTGCTTTAAAGCCAAAATATAACACTTATTAGTCATAATGCGTTGTTCATTGAGTTCCCTTAAGATTAGCTTGTGAATTGTGCACCAAAGTTCGTTGTTGTTATTTTGTTATTTTATTGACTTCAACGTGGCATGTATTGTTTTCTAGGATCGTTAGTTACCCTGATTATGTTTTAGTTGAACCAAGTTGGATTATTTTGTGGGGCTTAACCCCAATTAGATGCTATAGAATGCAAATGCAGTGTAAGCAAAATGAGGCAATGATTGTATCAAAAGGTCCACTGGTTTCTAAGCCTAACTGGTAGTGCCAGGAGAAAGGCCACCCTGAACACATGGTGCCGCAACACCATTGTTATTGTGAGTACGTGCGTGCACGTGCAATTTTAATTTCTTATAGTAGCTATGCAATATACAGAGCTGTGTGTGTTTAATATTTTCTCTGGTTGTAGTTAGTAGTATTAAGTTTAGTATTACATTCCATTACTAAAGAACGTAACATTATCCTTTCAGTGCCAGTCTCCTCAGTTTATCACCGTGGCCTCTTCTTCTCCCTGTTGGTGTTAAGAAGTATTCCCTATTTTTTGGTAGCCTTTTATAATCTGATGTGGTTATCATATCTTCGTATTTCCTATCAGTCAATAAAGGTCAGCGCGTATGTGGGCACGCGCGTTCAGCACCTGTGATTGGTAAAGGGGTTGATGTGAAAGTACGTATGGGTGTGCGAGGATTTGGAATGGTCCTTTTGCAGTATTTGTTGCAGCACGTGCCATTAACATAGTTTTTCTTAGCTATGGCTTCCTTAACCAGTTTTTTTTCACTCCTTCCTTACCCAGTGATCCATGCTTCTATTACCCTTAGGTTAAAGGGGTTGCAAGTTAGTCTTAAGTGTTCCAGCCATTTATTATATTCAGGGGGAAAATTTTAAACCCGTAGGAGTCACTGCTCGGGAAATGGGAGATTACCAGGTTTGATAAGCTCCAATTCCTTGGATCAAGAGCTCCATTTTTATCCACCTTATCTGTCCCTTGTGTTGTGATCGTGTGTTCTCTACTCATCCCTCCAAACATAGTTAATTTAGCTACCTGCTTCTCTCGTTTCCTTTATCAGTGATCTGCATGGTCACCAAACACAAGTTTTCTCACCTGCCCCTCTGGTTATAGATTTTAGGTTTAACCGCACTTAATACTATATATAATTTTGTATGATACTTTTTTTGTAGCAACATACCATTAACATAATGTTTCAGAGCTATTTTATTTATTGACGAATCTCTGGCACAGCACTGGGTCTGGCTAGTATACTCAATCATAGTATTCAGGAAAGATGAAGCAAGCAGTTTGCTAGTAAATTAGTGTCAACCTGCAGTGGTCACACTGTATCTGGTATCGATTTCGTCAGCATTCTCTTACCGGGCTCTGTGTCTAGTGCCCTACTGAGAGGTCCAGTTATCTATAGTCAGTTTTAAAAGCGAGAGAGGATTTCTTACATTATAACAATTGACCTATTGCCTAAACCCATGGCTCATATTGCTAGCAACTGGAACACTTGTGTCAGCATTGAACGTGAACTGCCTTCGAAACTACAGTGATATATGAATGCAACTTTGCTAGTGCACTAGATCTCTTTTTCCTGGAAGTGTATTGTAGGGTGCGACTTTTGTTGACGTTTCTTAACGTTGTTCTCTCCAAGGAATCAGGGCCAAGTGTACAGTAGGAATCTGTCAAGATACTCTAGGGTGATATCAACATTGGCAGGATTTTTGACTCATTATTGCATTTGAATACTCAGTGATGTGCATGCATAACGCTAATGTTTAGCAACGTTTATTGGCAGATCGTACCAGCAATATACTTTGGATAAGTGAAGGGTGTAGTTCAACAGATTGTTTGTAAAATACATAAATGGGCATAAAAGAGGGGGGGGGGAGCTGGAAGTCTTAGTATATAGCGTTCATGTGTATTATATCAGACTGCGCAATATCGTTTGAACGAATATTAAAAATAGTTTAGTTATTAATAACGGCTATTTTTTAATTTTTATTTTTTTTCTAAATAAAATTTAGTGGGTAGGCTTTAGAGAGAGACCCCCCCCCCTATGGTGCTGCAAGGTTAAGGTTTGGAAGCGGCCCACTACGTGGCTGATCAATATCCCGCTAGCTTACCTCACCATTCATCCTGGTGCTCCACCGGCCTTACACACTTGTTTACTTCTCTAGTCTACTCAATATTTAGATGTTACAGCTCAGCATTATAAACTTATTTCATGGAAACCACCACATACTGCTGGAAACTGTGCTGAAATAAGTAAGAAAATTTTCCACTGTTATAGTTTGTGGCAGCATGTAATATCTATCACGTATTATATGTAGCCTCAGTGACGTAAACCTCTAACAAGATACCTTTTATAAATCTAATTTTTTTTTTTTACCAGATAGCCCATTATTGTAAGATTTCTTCAAACATGTCTAGCGCCCACACTTATTGCATTTCACAGATTAACAGTTTGTTCAGATTTTAAAGGGAAGTATAGGTTTAATCGGAGTAATTTATTTCGGCTACGGTATTGTGATCTTATTCTGAGAAACTTTCTTTGGTAAGGTATGTATGTGTGCCATCAGTCTGGCTAGGCTGCCAGAGCCCTCCGTGTATGGAGGTAAAAGCGAGTGCGTGCCAAGCCCCTACTGGGTTTTATAATTGAACACTTGTACCAGTGTTAAATAAGCCAACCATTTAGTAGGTTCAGGGTATGGCGACTGCATGTTGATCACTGGATTATATATATACATCCAACTTGTCTGAGCCCGGCCATGGGCCAGGCTCGTCTGGTGCTTGCCTGGTCAACCAGGCTGTTGCTGCGATCAAGACATTTATATTAATTCGCCACGAGCGGCGGCTTTCGTCCTAAGAAGCCATTTGTCAGCATCGTCCTAACAGTTCCACCATGTGGCAACATCACTTGTAGCCGCCCACGAAACGAGAAAAAAAAACGTATAAATGTCATTCTCAAATGGATTCGTTTAGTTGATCTCGTCTTAAAATGTACATTTATAATTGTGTACATGGCTGTCTTCAAGAAGGCACTGGACAGGCACTTAGTACCTGACCAAACGGGCTATGGTTCGTACGGCAGTTTGCTTGCGGCCAGCAGTCTAGTTGATCGGACCCTGATGCACCACGAAGCCTGGTCTCAAATCGAGCCGCGGGGGCGTTGACCCCCTAAACCCTCTCCAGGTACATGTACAACACCCTAATCGTCAATTACTATCATTCTTTCCCGCACTGCAGTTAGCGTGTTTTCTTCCCGTCAGGTAGTGGTGGATCGTTGATGGCAGTAGGCAGGACACTAGATTCAAAGTAGGCTATATATCTACCTGGAATCTTGAGAGTTCAGTTTTTTTTTTTCCCTCTGTGCAGTTCGGATTGTTTTATTGTTACACTGAAAATTTTCAACTCTTTTGTGTTATGGTTAAATATATTTATAAAAACACTTGGTTTTTGCTACAGTAATTCAACTTTCAGTTCGTTCCACTCATCCATAAATATCAGCAAAACAACTTTGCAATATCCTTTCTAAATGTTAAGGTTTCCAACTGTAAACATTTTGACTGACATTTTCAGCACATTATTCATATTACTTTTGTTTTTTCCCCTTTCATTTGTACATTTCAGTAATAACTCCTCTCTACTCCTAATTGATATCATTGGATTTATGTGAAACGCTTAACCAGTGTGGACTGGGAAGCTCGAGCCTCTGTCTGCTAATCATGAAGCAGATGCGATACTTTCAGAGACAGGTGTTCTCATATGGAGTCATGAAGTCAACACTTTTGACATACTTATGCTACACTAAGAATATTAACAAAAAGTTTCACCTGCGCTGCAAGTGAAACTGTGGAGTAGTTTAAGGTAAGGTTAAACGACGGAGCATCTGACACCTAGGGTGATGGACTGATTGCATTAAACTACCTCTCCACTTTGTCTACTTTGTAATCCACCAGCGCTGATGTGTGTGTATTCAACTGATGAAGCCTGCGGTGCAGGTGAAATGTTTAGCCAATAAATATTATTAGTGTTGCACATATCTTGTAACTTTGTATACCATTTATAATATACCACTGCCATACATTTGTAAGGAAGGTTCATAATACAGGTGATGACATTTGTCATCCTCAAGCACATTTATGAAGCCGCGCAATTATTAGCTTTGCTAACTCTTGCTTTAAATTTCTGCAACCCACAATTTTTTCACATCCGGTTTCATTAGAATTTATTACCAGACAAGTATGCATTGTAGTTCTGATGGTAGTAGCAAACCCATTAGGGTCAGTGGCAGGTTGTGACAATCCCACGTGGGCATGTTGTGGTAGCAACAAGTTGACTTTAGTAGGTATGGTGCGAAACACGTGAAGACAGTGATAGCTGAGGCAACGAAACCCACGTGTGTCATTGGTAGGTGTTATCTGTTAGTTCTTTTGGGGCATATCTTCCCCACGGCCCAGGCTTCTTATGTTGGAATGGAAATATTACAAGATTAAGAACCACTAAGAAACAAAAGGCAAGTACGTGTATACGTAATGCAAGTAGAAGTTTGTCTGCCGTCCTATTTGTTCATGAGCCAAAGAAAAAAAAAGTTATGCCAGAGTGCAAAATAACTAACAGGTTTACGTTTGATATTCATTTGACAGGACGGTACCCTGGATGGTTACTGTCTACCAACCTGTTCTAGTTACAAAATCCACATGGGTTTGTTGTAGTGATAGCGAACCCTATTATTATTATTATTATCGTGGGGGAGCGCTAAACTAGCGAACCCTAATGGCCAGGAAAACTGACCCATAATTTTCGTTTGAAAACGTGCGAGCAGTTGTGATGAGAAAATGATGCCGCCGAAGCTTCCTTTCCTAGTCACTCCGCACCCCCAGCCCCCATTTGCCCTCCAGAACAACCCCAGTTCTCCCTCTTAGCGCCACCTTCACGCTCCGCATCACTAATCCTGTTCGAATCGCAGGAAATGTTGCCTCAGGTGGGTGGGTGATATTAAAGCTGCATTGCGTCTGACTCGTCACACACCTTTGTTCAGTATCTGTGTTAAGGTACTGCAGATTCATGTGAAAAGAGCTGTTAATTGACTCATGTCCTTCAGAAGTAGCGTGTCAGCTGACTAGATAACACTGGTTATTAGATGAGGGGGCAGTGCCTGTTGAAGATAAGGTTTTTAATAGGATTGTTATAGGTGGGGGTAGATTATAATAATAATCATGAGCGCTAAATACGCAAGGGTCATACAGCGCTGAGGGGGTAATGTGGGGAAAGTTTATTTCATCTGCACTTAAACCTCTCCTCATTTCTTACCCAGAGTAAGGTTTTTGTTTAACCTTTAAATTAAGTCCTAATATTCTGTAGCAGTTTAAATCACGTTCTTAGCAGTTTGAGAATGGGCAGCTTTTATTAATAGTAAGACTTAAGACGCCTTACACAAGTAAATTTTCAGTAATTTTTTTTTCACTTTCTAAGGTGTTGGCTGCTTACCATATATGACCCTTAATTTAAGGGTTTAACGTTTTGTTATGGTTATAATAATGCTTATCATATAATAATAATTACTGGGAGCGCTTGAGGTTCCTAAACCTGTGTTCCCTGGAACGCAGGAGGGAGAGATACATGATTATATACACCTGGAAAATCCTAGAGGGACTAGTACCGAACTTGCACACGAAAATCACTCACTACGAAAGCAAAAGACTTGGCAGACGATGCACCATCCCCCCAATGAAAAGCAGGGGTGTCACTAGCACGTTAAGAGACCATACAATAAGTGTCAGGGGCCCGAGACTGTTCAACTGCCTCCCAGCACACATAAGGGGGATTACCAACAGACCCCTGGCAGTCTTCAAGCTGGCACTGGACAAGCACCTAAAGTCAGTTCCTGATCAGCCGGGCTGTGGCTCGTACGTTGGTTTGCGTGCAGCCAGCAGCAACAGCCTGGTTGATCAGGCTCTGATCCACCAGGAGGCCTGGTCACAGACCGGGCCGCGGGGGCGTTGATCCCCGGAACTCTCTCCAGGTAAACTCCAGGTATCATTTACAAGACTAGATACCGAAGTGCATGTGTACGGTCATTTCGTCAATGAATTTTATTTAAAAACTAATATTGTATTTACAAACCGATCTCTAGGAGCGTCTTATGGGTCAGCTAACGCATTCACCTGAGCTCGATAAGCCTTATAGTGTGTGCGCTTTTGTGAAGGTAGAAAAGGGCATAACGTTAAGAGCGAAGCTATTTATAAAACAGCAACCGAGCAGTGCTCAAGTTCCTTATGAATCCCAAGCAGATCTACGTTCACATGCGTAGTGCTCCAAAAGTAGATCTACGTTGTTTTTACATATTTTCAAATATAACAAAAAAAGAAAAGTAGATCAGAGTTTTTTTTACAGGTTTTCAAATGTAAAAAAAAAAATCTTTTTTGCATACTTTCAAATGTTGAAAAAACGTAGATCTACGTTTGGACAGTTTAAGGGTTAAAGCACATTTTAATATTTAAGTAAAAAATATGGCCTTAACTTCACGTGAGTAATGTATAATGAACAAACAAAAATTGCATGGTGTGAAATACTGTAATTGTAAACATGATTAAGAATCAGTCGTTATCATTCCCACATATATTTCCTAAAAAAAATACGGTAAAATTAAAAGAAAATGGGCGAGGGTTTGTTAAAATTATCGTAGTGAGGATATGTTGCGGAGTTTTGTGGGATTTCTAATCTTTTTAACTCGGAGCTTCCTGCGTGCACTCAGACTGGTCCTAAATATTATATATATTTATCCAACAACCATCTGGGAATAGTATTGGTTTTTTAATTATAGACGTGGACTCTTCAGATAATTCATTTGAAATGGAATCGTTAAATTAAAACATTTTAGCATTTACAGATTAGGGGAAGGAGTAACATACTTAAATATTAAGTACGTAGTTCTTAAGTTTCATAAATCATTTCTCACCTTTTCTGAATACTTTGGCGTTTTTAATTACATAGACAGGTACTGTTTATAAATAACCACTCTTGAGTATTTAGAAATATCAAAATAAAGCTTGTGTAGTTCATTCATTTTACTAGATATGATTTTCTTCGGATTTTTAACCCCGGAGGGTTAGGCATCGAAGGACTGTCTTATTTCCATTGGGGTTCTTAAATCTTGTCCCCCAGGATATAAACAAAGTTTTCCAGTGGGCAACGGTAAACAATATGATGTTCAATGAGGACAAATTCCAACTACTCCGTTATGGAAAACTGGAGGAGATAATAACTAGAACAGAGTATACTACAGACTCTGGCCATACAATAAAGTGGAAAAATAATGTAAGGGACCTGGGAGTAGTAATGTCTGAGGATCTCACTTTCAAGAATCACAACAGTGCCACGATCGCACGTGCAAAGAAAATGATAGGATGGATAATGAGAACGTTCAAAACGAGAGATGCCAAGCCAATGATGATTCTTTTCAAATCACTTGTTCTCTCTAGGCTGGAATACTGCTGTACATTAACATCTCCATTCAAAGCAGGTGAAATCGCAGATCTAGAGAGTGTACAGAGATCCTTTACTGCACGTATAAGTTCTGTCAAGCACCTTAACTACTGGGAACGCTTGGAAGCACTTGACTTGTACTCGTTGGAACGCAGGAGGGAGAGATATATCATAATCTACACTTAGAAAATCCTGGAAGGAATGGTCCCAAATCTGCACACAGAAATCACTCCCTACGAAAGTAAAAGACTGGGCAGGCGATGCAAAGTGCCCTTAATAAAAAGTAGGGGCGCCATTGGTACACTAAGGGAAAACACCATAAGTGTCCGGGGCCCAAGACTATTCAACAGCCTCCCATCAAGCATTAGGGGAATTGCCAATAAACCCCTGGCTGCCTTCAAGAGAGAGCTGGACAGATACCTAAAGTCAGTGCCGGATCAGCCGGGCTGTGGCTCGTACGTTGGACTGCGTGCGGCCAGCAGTAACAGCCTAGTTGATCAGGCCCTGATCCATCGGGAGGCCTGGTCATGGACCGGGCCGCGGGGGCGTTGATCCCCGGAATAACTTCCAGGTATACCAGTCGACTAACACCCAGGTACCTACTTGCGTGCTAAGTGAACGGTGATAACAGGTGTAAGGAAACACGCCCAATGTTTCCATCCTTACCAGGGATCGAACCACAGATGGTGTGTGTGTGTGATTAGTGAGAGCGGAACAAATTTTAGATTAAATGGGAAGATTTTTTTTTTTATAATTTTCTTTATCTTTGTCTAAAATTTAAAAGTAATAAGCCGGTAGGGAAGGGGATTTTCAGGTGTTTGGAGCCTGTCAGTGGTCTGGTGCAATAAGTGGGTCAGGGCATATGTATGCACAGAAATGTATATCTGTGTATATACGGTTTTATTGACCGAAGTTTTCTCGGTAAGGTGAATTTCATCATTGACTCACGCGGTCGATATAAATTTTAATCTTAATACATTTAGTAAGTCTGCGTGTTTAGATTTTATTACCATCATTAGGTGATCATTAATACCGTTTTTAAGGTAGACAAATAATTTGTGCAGGGAACTAATATAATCGTATTCGTTTGTATCCCCATTATGTTTATTATAGTGCATGGTAAAGTATCTTAAATTTAAAAAATTTTATACTAGCAAATAACATTTGTTTAATAAGGGGCAACTCCGCTAAGGCTGTGAACATTTTTAGCAAAATTAGTGCTTAGTTACAGGGGAAAAATATTTACGGATGTGCAAAAGATCAGGGGTGAGGTTCACCGCGGTGGTCTTCCATTCATTAAATCATCTTATTTTGTTTATATAGTACAAATGAATTAAAATCTAACAATCATTATTAAACATTATACCTTACTAATTTTGTGAGAAGCTAAACGTAAGGAAATGGGGTGTAATATTTTCGCAAAATAAAATGCAATTAAAAAAATGTCTAAAGCGAAAAGTTGAGGTTTTTTCCAGATGTAAAAGTGGACCGGAGAGGCAGCCACCCAGACTACCATACAATACTAACCCAGACCCGCGATTAGCTGAATATTTGTCACCTTCGGTGTTACTTTCAGACGAATTGGCCACCATATCGTATCAGCTAATTCACCCCGTGCATCACACCAAGGGCAGGCGAGATAAGCTTCAAAATTGTAAAAGAAATAGTCGGTATGTAACTCGGAACTCGTCTAACACAGATCAACCCGGCAGACAGAGCAACACTGAGGGCTTGGGGGGCGCCCACAGTCGCCGCCGCCGCTGGTAAATCCTAACAAAGACGAACTGACAACTGCGCCGGTACCGACCAGTTGCCGCCTCTCCTCACCTTCGTTATTATCTTAAAAAAAAAAAAAGACAAAAGTGGGTTTCCTCCATTGTGTTCAATACAGTTGTTAAATTATCGAGTGATACAGAATACTGCAGTGATTTGATAGTTGTATGTGTTTTTTTTTTATAAAAAATGTCTCTTCCAAACTGATGGCAGCATCTGTAAACATGTGCACACATATGTTAAGGGACAACGCACTTGCCTATTCTAACTCACGTACAGTAAATCATCAGCAGTAGATAACTTTTATGTAACGATCATCTAAATGCTTCTACAAAATTAATCATACCACTGCAACTTTTGTACAAGGATATAAAGTAATTATATTTTTTTTACCAGTTATATAAGTTCTTTTTTACCAAGCATCTTTTATTTTACTTGGTGCGCTTCTAAAAAAAATCCACATTCTTCACAGATTTATAAGGTAAAGCATTTATGCCACTAAAGTTATTATTCTGGTATTTTTCCAGTGCTGACAAGCGCAGCACTAGAGGTAACCTTGGAAACTTGGCTCATGTAGGAACACTTGTGGCAACAACGCTTCTAGTATTGTAGCTTGAAAGTTGCGAACAGCCCTGTTATGTATTTAGAATTATTTGCAGTTTTTAAGAATAAATGACTGAATAATCTTGACCATCTCTGGCTAGTCTAATAAATCATTGCAAACTAGTATCGTCCAAATGTGGAAGATGGCCTGTGTGATACCTGTTTGCAAAACAGCAAAAGATGAATCATTGGCTGAAATCATTAATGAAAGGTGTAATTAGAAGCCATCCTAATCTGTTTGACGAGTTTAAACATGGCTTCAAGAAAATGGGTCGTTCTACCTAACAAATTAAGATTTTTTCACCAAGATATTTGATCACATGCATGTATGTTCGTCCTTTTATTAGTAGTATCAACAAATTTATTACGTCAACGTTGTCCACCAGGAGCTTCAAGCTAATACATACACCAGGGGCTTATCCAAAATCTGTAAGTGAAACTTTTTCCTTAAAATAATTACACAGCAGATACTAGATACACGACATTGTGACTGCAAAAGGTGTGTGTAGCCAACACCATCCATCACGTTGGATGGTTATTCGTACAACGGTTGCAATGTTCGCCAGCTTATGCTAGCAGGCATCACTTAGTGATGTTGACATCGTCATACTTTTACAAGGTTTCGCAGCATTCGCTTAAGCAACTTTGGCACACAAGTTCTTAAAACACATCTGTAGTTCCTTCAACACTGGTGCTACTGTAGCACAGAATGGTGCATTGTTTCATTACTAGATTATGACTTAATTACAAAATATATTAATTTTTTATGGGTATAAATAGGGACACGTTTTCCCACCGTTCTCGTATGCGTAAAGATTATTTGACCATTACAATATATATTCAGTTTGCATGGCTGTAAATGAGGACAACGTTTTCCCGCCGTTCGTGTATATATACTGTATTTAAATACATTTCGGGTGCGGGACCTTCCCCTCCCACTTCGAAATTAGGTACACCCGCGGTGTGCGGCTACCTCATTTAAGTTATATGGTGGGAACAACGACGTTTCCATACTATAGTCCACCCCTGCAGGATTTACTGTTTACATTAGATAATGAAATTTGTCAATATAACCTTGGAAGACTCAGTAAAACAATGAGGAAATTGTTTACTCCACTTTAGGTTACACTTCAGGCTAACAGTAGTCATGTAGATGCCTAGAGGGTTTTGCTTTAGCAGGGCTAGCTTTATTAAATTAAAATACCAAGGTTAGCTTAAGTCTGTTTTCAATTTTTCTTACATTTTAAATGATCTGGAGGTTATTCCGGGGATCAACGCCCCCGCGGCCCGGTCCATGACCAGGCCTCCCGATGGATCAGGGCCTGATCAACCAGGCTGTTACTGCTGGCCGCACGCAGTCCAACGTACGAGCCACAGCCCGGCTGATCCGGCACTGACTAAGTATCTGTCCAGCTCTCTCTTGAAGGCAGCCAGGGGTTTATTGGCAATTCCCATAATGCTTGATGGGAGGCTGTTAAACAGTTTTGGGCCCCGGACACTTATGGTGTTTTCCCTTAGTGTACCAATGGCGCCCCTACTTTTTATTGGGGGCATTTTGCATCGCCTGCCCAGTCTTTTACTTTCGTAGGGAGTGATTTCTGTGTGCAGATTTGGGACCATTCCTTCCAAGATTTTCCAAGTGTAGATTATGATATATCTCTCCCTTCTGCGTTCCAACGAGTACAAGTCATGTGCTTCCAAGCGTTCCCAGTAGTTAAGGTGCTTGACAGAACTTATACGTGCAGTAAAGGATCTCTGTACACTCTCTAGATCTGCGATTTCATCTGCTTTGAATGGAGATGTTAATGCACAGCAGTATTCCAGCCTAGAGAGAACAAGTGATTTGAAAAGGATCATCATGGGCTTGGCATCTCTCGTTTTGAAAGTTCTCATTATCCATCTTATCATTTTCTTTGTACGTGCGATCGTGGCACTGTTGTGATCCTTGAAAGTGAGATCCTCAGACATTACTACTCCCAGGTCCCTTACATTAGTTTTCCGCTCTATTGTATGGCCGGAGTCAGTAGTATACTCTGTTCTAGTTATTATCTCCTCCAGTTTTCCATAACGGAGTAGTTGGAATTTGTCCTCATTGAACAGAAGGAAAAAAAAAAAACAGAGGAGTCGTATGGGGAGGGAGGGTTGGATAATTTTTTCATTTAATTTCTGGTCCCCATTCACAAGTCATGGGAGGGAAATGAATGGGGAAAATTTCTAAGGGATGATAATGTCCGTTTAGGTATTGCAATATCTTCTCGGCTAACAAAGAAATATGGATTAATCTTTTTTATTTAATTTTTATTAAATAACATTCGTGTAGTTTCTGACAAATATTAAGCAAGTGCTCACTGGGGCTTTTGGGCATGGGACAGGTCTTCCACTGACTTACTGGCCCTTCTAATCCTGAATGTGGGGGAGGGGGGGGGGGTAATCTGATATGAACTCAACTTCATAATTATTCAGTTCCCACACCTGGGGTTGAAATTTGAATTACGTTAGGGCCACTGCAGAACTGAAAAGAACGTTATATTTAATTAAAAGTCATCACTGATCTTAAGCATTGTCTCAAGACAGGAAATAAGTACACGTTGCAGGGCAGAAACCTCGTGAGGTGGTTGGGGGATTTCCGTAATGTCCACAAGCCGGCAACCATAGCTTGAGCTTTTAAGCTTGCCAGAGGCCATACCTGTGTTGTTTCCTAGTTGCCTAGTTTATTATTAAAAACACTATAATACATTAAGCAGAGAGATTACATAAATGGGATGAAATCAGAATGGGGACCGGTCGCAAGTGGCGTTCCACAAGAATCAGTTTGTGGAAACAAGTCAGTTGCACAGGTGAAACGTGTAACATTTTCTTTAATTAACCGCGGTTTGTCTTTACTGCATACAAACTGTCGATATTCATTTACCATTACCTGCATAACATAAGGCAATAGTCCTACTGCAGTGCTCTTCGAGTCTAATGGTCTTATGTAACCCTCGAGTACATTACTCATCGCACATGCCTTTCACTGCACATTTCATGGTTAGTTACCCTGTTAGGATTAAAGCCTGTATGTATGCGTGGGTTATTAGGCAGACATTAAGTATTAGTTATTAATACACTTTCTGTATATACACTGAGATACCTCAGTGTATATATACCGTACCCTGAGCATGACATTCCACAGTATACACAAAGGCTATCTCGGTCCCGGCTTGATCCCCAAGGCGACTAGTGTTGGCAGAAACTCCTGCAGTAAGTTTGGCGAGTATTTTTTTTTATAATCACTGCTATCTTAGGCAGTGTTAGGATAATTATCCTAATCTTGTAAACTTGAATTGGCTTGTGTTAAAGTAAGTATTGAAAGACTAATAATAGGAATGTATATTTTGAGTTATTGTGACTACTAATTTATCAAATGGATGTTGCATCTCAGTGTCTAATAAATGTGTTCAGTTTTGTCGTTCATCTTTAAAAATAAAAAGTAAACCAGGAGTAAATGTGGCCTTGGGTTAGTTTTCTCCTCTCTCCCACCATCTTTCCTCCCTCTACCCCCATGCTCTCTTCGTCCCACTCTTGCTCCCTCCCATCCTTCCTACCCCGTCTCACCTTAGCGCTGCCTACCCCCCCCCCCTCTCGCCATCTCCTCTCCTTCCCCGAGGGCATTCACCTTTTTGTGGTGGAGGGAATTAGGAGGTTCGTGAATGCCATGGGCCGTACTGCCTGGGGGGTTCCACATGCCAGGAAGTTGAAGTTATAGGTTTATATGAGCCATTGCAAAGGCATAATACTGTACATATTAGTCACTGTAGATACATCAAAGGAACATTGTATGTGATTTCACCTAAGTTAGCCATATAATTCATCAAAAGGATCTAATGTCACTGGGGTAATTATGTTTATGTTGTAGTCATAATATATATTTTTCTCAAATATTTTATATGAAAAATCAATATAGTAAAAAACTACCTCAATCACCTAAATTACTGGAAGCATTTGTAGTCCCTCGGACTGTGGAAGAGACATATACCGCAGTCTACTTCAGGAATATTTTAGAGGGACTGGTCCCAATCCTGTAAACCGAAATCAATTCAAATGAAAGCGTAATGCTGGGAAGATGGAGCATGATACTTCTAATGAAGAACAGAAGCGCGATGAGCATATGTGTGCGGAAAATTTTGAATTTTCCTGAATTCATCATGTGTAAATTTGAATAATACAATAATTGTGTAATAAAGTGTGATGCTGATTTGACCCTTTCGAGAAATTTCGAGTGAGGGGGTAGGTAGAGCAGCCACTGAGTGATGCCACGGGGAGGACTCCATAATGAAGTTAATGTGTGACCACTGGACCTGAATTGTGCAATGTAATCAGGCGTTCTCGAAAGTTAATTGGTGTATATCGGCCTCAATCCGTAACTTAGAAATTGCTGACACATTCCTGTTGAAGAATTGAGATAAATAGTGTGGGAAAACCCTTACATTTCTGCAACAAGAGCGGAAGAAGGGAATCACCATTTATAATTTGTGGCCACTGGTTGTCATGGGAAATTCAGTTAATAATCTGGCATCTTCTTGGCCAAATTGGGGTTTTCTGGCGTGAATTTGTAATAGCCCATGTTACTGAAGAATTGGAACAGGAAATTTGTGGGACCTCAAGAATTATGTGGGGATGGTGGAAGATAAGGGATATGACCATCACTCACAGGGAAGTGCACCATTAGTCCTTTCATTTAGATCTCTAACTGTCCAGTGTAGGGTCTAGGTATCAGGCAGGTGTTGTGGTGTGATCCATCTACAGTAATTAAATGATAAGTGGTAATATGAATTTCTTTTGTGTACCCAGCAAGCCTAATCACATACAGTCCACAGCTGTAATTTACCTGAGTAGCTTGTTTTACTACTGTAATTATTAAATGTTAGGTCTAGCCTTTTTTTGAGTGGTGAAGTGGGCATCAAGGGAGTAACAGTTTGGCGACCTACTGTGACTTAAGTCCCACTTATCTCACCCAAATTATTTGCAGGTAATAAGTCAGGTAGTAAGCCTACTGCAGGTAATTTACTTACAATAATTCTCATACCGTGAGAGAATAAGTGTAAAGGAACCTCTACCCATCCATGTCCTCCCATTATTGCAAGCAAACTCACTCTTATTTCCACAAGATACAGTACTGTATATAGTTTTACAGGACTGGATAACACTTGATAGTGTCATCCATGGTTATGGATGGCATTTCGGGCAAGCTAAAACATCAGGCTAATAGAACATAAGGCATAATTAATATTGTACATGTACAGTGGACCCTCGACCAACAATATTAATCCATTCCAGAGAGCTCATCATTAGACGAAATTATCGTTAGTTGAATTAATTTTCCCCATAAGAAATAATGGAAATCAAATTAATCCATTCAAGACACTCAAAAGTATGAAAAAAATATTTTTACCACATGAAATATACATTTTCCTACACACAGAAGGATAGATGCACAGTACATGTATACATATGTATATTGTGTAATGAAGAATAAATGACACTACCTTTATTTTTAATTAAATCGTCATGCAATTGCCTTACCTTTTTACATATGATCGCTTGAGAGATGCTATCTCCTGATATCTGTTTTTCGTTTATCCACACCAGTAACAGTCTCTCAACATCTTCGACTACTTGCGATCTGTGTTTCGAAAACATACTTGCACCTTTTGCAACAACAGCTTTCTTGATTGCATTTCTGTTGGCCAAGATAGTAGCGATGGTTGATTGGGGTTTGTTATACAACCTGGCCAGCTCGGAGACACGCACTCCAGTTTCATACTTTGTGATGATCTTCATTTCAATTGTAATTCTCACCCTTTTTACCACAGGGTTGGCACTAGAAGCTTTCTTGGGGTCCATGGTGGCTCATTTTGCAGTTACAAGCACTAAAAACACTGGAATAATGCAAAATGTACCGAATGTATGCGTGGATGCGACTGCACAAAAAATACATTTTATAGAGAATAACTATAGTTTTATATACAGAAAACAGTGAGAAATAAATATAAAACCCTAATTTTAATGGATAAATGAACATTTAAATCAGTTTTACCTTTATTTAAGATTCTTGTTGGCATATTCTTTGAGATCCACATGCAGCTACCTTGCCTTTTCGCTAACTGTTTTTCGTTGATCCACACTAACAACAACTTCTCAACATCTTTGATTGTTTGCCATCACTACCACCCTCAACCACCACTACCACTCCCTACCACCCTCTACCACCATCACTACCACCCTCTGCCACCATCACTACCACCCTCTACAGCCATCACTACCACCCTCTACCACCATCACAACAACTACCACCATCACAACAACTACCACCTCTACCACCATCACTACCATCCTCTGCCTTTATAGAGGGTGGTAGTGATACTTGCCCACAAAACTTTGCAACTCATTTTACGAGTTCTTTCTTGAATTCTGTCATGTTTCTCACCTTCTTTATCAAAGGGCTGGTACTTGGAACTTTCTTTGGCCCCATGGTGGCTTATTTAGCAGTTGCACTCAATAAACAAGCACAAAAAACAATTGATTATTACGAAATGTTTCGTATAAACGAGCAGGGTAATGTTCACTTGACAAGAAACACAGCCAGACTAACTCAGAATGTGTGTGTGGAATGCTTTGTGTGGGCACAGGCATGTGGACACGTTCTGTACAGCAGACGAAAACCAAGGTGACAAACAAAAACTGGGATAATATTTTGACGAAAAAAGTCGTCGAAAACCAAATTCGACGAAAACCAAGGTTCCACTATAAAGGTAGATGAGGGGAAGAGTTAAGCAAAGGAAATTACCAGCAAATCCCAAGCTGTCTTCAAGTGAAAATTTGGTAATCTCCTCAAGTCAATTCTTGATCAGCCGGGCTATGGTGCATACATACGTTGGGCTGCAAGCAGCGGGCACCAGCAGGCTGATCAATCAGGCCAACAACCCAGAGGCCTGGTTTGGGATTGGGGCAGTGACCCCAAGAAACAGCTACAGGTAGCCAGTCCTAGGATTGTAGTGTTGGGAGTGATTTAAAAGGAAATTTGAAAGCAACGTAACTGAAATTCAAGTATTTTTAAAAGCTCCGGTCAGCATGTGAATGCAGTGCTGAGCAACATGTTTGTTTTCATGAATCCCTTGAAACATTGCTATTTCGGTTTGCTGCTGTTCTTTATTTAACAACTGTGATACCCAGAAGTCCTTCATTTTTCATAACTGTTTTATCTTCTGGTACATGCAATAAAGCTGTACAGATAAAATGTATATTGTACAACCAAATATTAATCACAAAAGTATTGTCATTAAAGATTAATTTTATTTGTTTGCTAATATTGTACAGTATGGTGCTTGTTTATTATTAAAATTGTATTATTTCAGTGTGGAGACTTTGTAAATGCTGGAGCGAAGGAGATGATGACCCCATCAGATGTCATTGCTGCAGCTGACATTACATTTTCCTGTGTGTCTGATCCTCAGGTTGCTAAGAATGTAAGTATGGCACCATGATGTGGTTATATTTGTTGGCCTTTGGTGAATGAAAGTTGTTCTTGTATACAAAGTACAGTGGTACCTTGGCTTATGAGTGTCCCAACTCTATGAGTTTTTCGAGTTACACGTCGTCACTCAGTCAATTTTTTGCTTCTAGTTGCAAGCCAAAATCCGAGTTACGAGCAAGCTCCAGATATGCCGCCACTAATTGGTAGCGTATCTGAAGTTAAATCAAACTCTGTACCCAGAGGAATGTCAAGTACTTTGTCCCATCCCACATGCTCTTCCAAGACATAACTGGAAGGATAATATGTACTCCCACACTAATCCCAGATTGTAATGAGGCACCTCGTCCCTTGTTTGGTTCTTGTATAAATCGGGGGAAGAGGTAACCTTCATTTCATTAAGGTGGGTGGAGCAGTGATGGTGGTGGGTGAAGTAGTCATGGTGATGGGTGGAGTAGTGATGGTGGTGGATGGAGTAGTGATAATGGTGGGGGGAGTTGTGAGGGTGGTGGGTGTAGTAGAGATGGTGTGGTGAAAGTGAGGGTGGTGGATGGAGTAGTGATAATGGTGGGAGGAATAGATATGGTGGTGGATGTAGTAGAGATGGTGTTGGGTGGAGTAGTGAAGGTGGTGGGTGGAGTAGTGAAGGTTGTGGGTGTAGTAGAGATGGTGGTGGGTGGAAAAGTGAGGGTGGTGGATGGAGTAGTGATAATGGTGGGAGGAATAGATATGGTGGTGGATGTAGTAGAGATGGTGGTGGGTGGAGTATGCAATATTTCTTATTTATAAATACATTTTTCTTATTTAAAAACCGGTAACAAACAAATTGGGGTGGTTTTTGGGGGGGGGTGGAACGGATTAATGGCATTTCAGTTAATTTCAACGAGGAAAAAATGTTTTGATATACGTACGAGCAAATTGAGTTACAAGCTCGGTCACAGAACGAATTAAACTCATAAGTCAACGTACCACTGTATACTGCACCTCTATACCTTACTCAGAAGCTTAAATGTATTAGTGTATCTAACTCCATGGTATAAACCTTGGTAATAAATACCGACAAGTTGGTTTAGAAAGACACGTAAGCAAACACTATAACATATTTATTAGAAAACGTTTCGGTCCTGGGACCTTGATCACTTCTAACATACAGAGGTAGAAAGACATTATATATATAGGCGGAGAGTGAGATGTGACGCACGTGACCTGAGGAATGTCATAAGAACATAAGAATGGAGGAACACTGTAGAAGGCCTACTGGCCCATGCGAGGCAGGTCCTTATCAAAACAACCTCTGCCTATGATGATGACGGGTAGACGATGAAATCATGTGACTCCTGTGTTGTTGGGTTGGTGCTGCTTAAGTATCATGTATGCCAATGTTTTTGAAATTTTGTAGTTTCCAGTGTTGCGTTCTATAGTGTCGGTGACGCAACACTGGAAACTACAAAATTTCAAAAACATTGGCATACATGATACTTAAGAAGCACCAACCCAACAACACAGGAGTCACATGATTTCATCGTCTACCCGTCATCATCATAGGCAGAGGTTGTTTTGATAAGGACCTGCCTCGCATGGGCCAGTAGGCCTTCTACAGTGTTCCTCCATTCTTATGTTCTTATGACATTCCTCAGGTCACGTGCGTCACATCTCACTCTCCGCCTATATATATAATGTCTTTCTACCTCTGTATGTTAGAAGTGATCAAGGTCCCAGGACCGAAACGTTTTCTAATAAATATGTTATAGTGTTTGCTTACGTGTCTTTCTAAACCATCTAACTCCATAAACAACATAAAGGCACAATACCGTGATGGGAACAGTACACAAATAATAACCTGCACATAGGAGAGAGGAGCTTACCACGACATTTTGGTCTGACTTGGACCATTTACAAAGCCACAGTATTACTTTGTAAATGGTCAGGATCAGACCGAAACGTCGTCATATGCTTCTCTCTCCTATATGCAGGTTATTTGTTTATCTAACTCCATATCATTATCAAGCCCCCTCGTTGGTTATTATTTAGATGTCTCCCAGGCCCTTTCTTCACTCCAACCATCCTCTTCTTCACTCCTTTGTCATCCACAGAGCTCTTCTGCACCAAATTCTGTTTAAACTTAGTGGTACACAGTCACTCTTGTGCTTCTGAATCTGCCATGCATTAAAATTGCTAAACCTCTGATGGGGTCTGACTGCTTATTTTATGGTACTGCTGTTTCCTGTCTTTGTGTTGCATCCTCTACTCCCACTTGCCAACCCTCTTGCCTTCCTTCATTGCAAATGCAATTCGTGTTATCTCAGAGATGGTAGCAAGTATAGCTACTGTTCTTCCATGGTGCCCTTGCACAAATGTTATCTGTCCTTCTGCAAAGTATCCCTTGCTTTATGCAGTAGATGTATTCCAGGCTATGGCAGTAGTACTAAGTTCAATCAAACCATCACCACTTAATTATGCATATGGAGAATTTTTACTGTGTTTTGCTAACTACATTTATTGGATATGGTGAATGCATATACATAATTGCTGATGCAAATGGGACATAGCATAAGAGTGAATTCACCTCAAGGAAAGCCACATAAAGCAAGGGAGACCTAGTCTATCTGTAGATTGTCATTCAATTTCTGTCTATTGTCTACATGTATTGTTTAAATGTCTGTTAACCTGTATCCTGTTACTGCATCTCATAAAGCAAAAGTGTGCTTCTTGTCCATACTTATGTTTATATGTACCAGATTTTTATTCAAATTACACTTCACTTTGCTGCCCTGGTGTATTTGTTCAGATAAGTAGTACCATACAGTACATATACAATATGTTTTTTACACAGCACTGTTCCTTTACACTCCTTGTCTTTAAACAAGCTTTAGACCATTGCTTAATGTATATCTGAATAACTGCTGTTGTTAGGTGACTGTGATGGATATGTGGGTCAGCAGCCCACCAGCAGCAACAGCCTGGTTGACCAGACAAGCACCAAACAAGCCTGGCCCAAGGCCAGGCTCTGGGAGTAGAAAAACTCTTGGAACTCATCAAGGGTGTGAGGCAGACTTTCCCCAATTCTCATGGTCCCTGTCAAGTCTCTATTTTTTTTCACTCGTTTACCTTTACATGCCTTAATTACTGTTCTGAGACTTCAGCACATGTGGATACTTGGTCATAGAGCCTCTTGCTGTGCTATCCTAAACTTGGCTAATACCAGTATCTAGAAAGAATTATTGGTACTCATAGCTTGAATATAGCTTTTTTTTTTTTTGTACACAGGGTTTGACAAGGTTAAGGATCCCTAGCTTTATTGACAAGCTATTTACAGGTTAAGGATTCCTAACTTTATTGGCAAGCTAAGAGCTGTTACCTACATCAGCTCATTTGAAAGCATTTTTATTGTTATGAGACATACAAGTAGGGAACAGGATGAAGTTGGAGCCATCTGTGGGCCAGCATTTTCATTTGATCAACTGACTTTATCTCATTGACATCATTATGCTGTACGAATGTGTTCCATACTCGAGTCATCCTGGGTATATATGATCTCAGATGGAGTGATGTTCTGGGGAATTGTACAGCCAGAGTGAAGTTGCTGCTTTCTGCTCGTCTTGTGGCATAAAAGCTTGTTTCACGCTGTCCTTGAAGTGGATCCAAGTGTGGTACTTTGACAATATTGGCCTTGAACATAACAGTAAGGCCACCCACATCCCTCCTATGTTGAAGGCTCTGCTGAAATGACAGATCTATCCAGAATGGGTCCAGGCGAGAGATGAGACGTCTTGCTCTGTTCTCTACTCTGTCGAGCAGTCGCAGATGAGAGGGGGGCAGGCAAACCAAGAAAGTGGAGCATACTCAAGGTGTGAGCGTACTTGTGCCTCGTACAGAATCTTGCAACCCCTACTGTCAAGCAGATGCGAGATACGGCGAAGTGCTGTAAGCTCCCTGGCTGCCTTGTTTGCAAGATTTACAACATGGTTCTTCATGGTTAGTTTGAAGTCAAATTTCACCCCAAGGATATCAACTTCTTCTCCAGGTGCCAACACCCTCCCATTCATCCTTACTACTGCAACGCATTACCATCATGGTGCCTAGAGACGATCATCATTTGCGTTTTCTCAGGTGCAAATGTTACTTGCCATCTATTTCCCCAAGCTGATATAGCTCTCAGCTGGTGATTGATGTAGCTTAGAGCAGCTGGCATTTCTTCTCTTGGATAAGTGAATGTCAGTGTACAGTCATCTGCATATGCATGTGATTCTGGGATGAGATAAAGAAGGTCGTTGAAGTAGACATTCCATAACAATGGTCCCAGCACGCTTCCTTGTGGAACACTTGCCCCAATAGGATGTCTTGCTGATTCCGTTCCATTGAGAACTACACTTAGAGATCTACCATGAAGGTAATCACTGAGGAGACATAGCGTAGAGCCTGCAATTCCCAGTGCTTGAAGTTTTGGTAAGAGGCCCTGGTGCCACACCCAATTGAAAGTGCCAGCAATGTCCAGTGCTACCACACAGCTGACTTTGGATTCATCCAGTGACTGGTGCCACTTAGTGGAGAGGTTTAACAACAGATCAGCAGCAGAGTAACCTTTCCTGAAGCCATATTGACGATCACAAAGTAGTGAGTGGTAGTCAAAAAACTCTGTCATTTGTCTTGAGATTATTGTCTCAAGGATCTTACCAGTGATTGACAGGAGTGACACTGGTCTGTAGTTGCTGATTTCTGCTCTGCTCTTCTTTTTGTGAACAGGGACTACATTTGCCTCTTTCCATAGAGAGGGCCATTTACACTGTACTAGGCAGTGCTGAAAGATGCGAGTTAGAGGTGCTGCTAGCTGGTCTGCACATCTTCTCAGCTTGTCTTCCTCAGTTGATAGCCTCGACATGGACATTAGGGTCGCTTTATCTGCCTTTTCATGTGCTCCCACATATCTGTTTTTCTTTCTTTATTGTTTATTTCATTACCTATTCTTATTTTGAATCTTGTTGCAAAATTTCATTAGTGCAGTAAGCTTTCCTTGTCTTTCCGTTTTTATATGCACTGCACACAATAAACTGAAATTAAAAATGCAAACAATAGAATGACTTTTATTTTTCAGATGGTATTTGGGAATTGTGGTGTCTTACAGGAGATCTCTGCAGACAAAGGTTATGTTGAGATGACAGGAATTGATGCTGAAACATCTCAAGATATTGCTGAGGTAGGTGACTATCAGTTCTGTTTTTGTTATTGCTGAGGTAGGTGACTATCAGTTCTGTTTTTATTATTGTTATTGTCGCTATTATTATCAGGTATCCATGATACCTGATAATAGCGATACCTGATAATTATAGTGATTGCCTGAATTCTTGTTTCCTTCAGCAGTTAAAAAGACTTGGAATTGGAGAATGCCTCTTTTAGGCAGCTTCAAACCTTGACTAGTGCTCAGGTTTTGAAGGAAGGTTTAAAATTTAAGTGACCTTTGTTGGATCCACTTTTCAATTTTATTTCTGGAGTATTATGCTTACTTTTCCAGATCAGTAAGAAATTATGTATCAAGCTGAAAATTTAAGCAGACCTTTATCTCTTTCTTTCTTTCAACACACCGGCTGTATCCCACAGAGGCAGGGTGGCCCAAAAGGAAAAATGAAAGTTTCTCCTTTTTACATTTGGTAAAAGAGAGAAGCTTACGACGACGTTTCGGTCCGACTTGGACCATTGACAAAGTCACACTAACCAGAAGTGGAGCAGGACGGCTATATATAGCCGTCCTGCTCCACTTCTGGTTAGTGTGACTTTGTCAATGGTCCCAGTCGGACCGAAACGTCGTCGTAAGCTTCTCTCTCTTATGTGCAGGTTATTTGTGTATCGTTCCAGTCACGGTATTGTGCCTTTTTTGTTATTTACATTTGGTAATATATACAGGAGAAGGGCTTACTAGCCCCTTGCTCCTGACATTTTAGTCGCCAAACCCAGAGGGGTTTGTAAATATGCTTGTACATATATGTTTAGTGTGACCTAAGTGTAAGTAAAAGTAGCAAGACGTACCTGAAACCTTGCATGTTTATGAGACAGAAAAATGGACACCAGCAATCCTACCATCATGTAAAACAATTACAGGCTTTCATTTTACACTCACTTGGCAGTACAGTAGTAGCAGACCTTTATATTGGTTTAAAACTTTAGTAGAGCAGGTCATCGAATAACTTTTTTTCGTTAAACGTCGTGTTGTTATAACGTCGATGAGAAAAATCAAACGAATACAATGAATATAAATTATTGTAAAATAAAAATTTGTAAAGTTAACAATAATCATGCAAACAAATGACAATAAATGATGTGGTATGAAAGCACTGAGCAAGCCTGCTGTATTTGTTATTGTTTGCATGACTCACAATATCGTAATGACATGATTGCAAACAAACCATACCACGGGTGGGGTTTGAACCCGCAGTCGGAGAATCTGGAGTTTTGAGACTGACCGCGGGTTCAAACCCCACCTGTGGTATGGTTTTTTTATTGTTTGTTTTTGAACTGCATGATGGTAGAAGGTGCTCCTTATAATTTTCACTTTGCAAACATTTATTCCTTGATTTAACCCTGTTGCAATGGGTGCTAAAGGTGCACTGTGCACCCCTGATGCTTTTAGCTATAAAAAAAAAAATGTGTGACATTAGAAACAAAACTAGAATTTTAAAGGGGTTTGACAATGGACAGTGAGGTGTAGTTTTGTTGTTCTTTGTTTCACTTAAACTCGCAGTTTCCAAGAACCCGGTGATGACATTAAGTGAGGATTTATTGTACTTTGTATAATTTATGATGCAGTTCCCCTTGCTGTTTAGGAAATAATTATCTGAAGCCTACAACGAATTATAAATCTTTCGTTCGACGCACCAGCTGTATCCCACTGAGGTGGGGTGGCCCAAAAGGAAAAACGAAAGTTTCTCCTTTTAAATTTAGTAATATATACAGGAGAAAGGGTTGCTAGCCCCTTGCTCCTGGCATTTTAATCACCTCTTATGACATGCATGGTTTACGGAGGAAGAATTCTGTTCCACTTCCCCATGGAGATGAGAGGAAATAAACAAGAACAAGAACTATAAAGAAAATAGAAGAAAACCCAGAGGGGTATGTATATATATGCTTGTACATGTATGTGTAGTGTGACCTAAGTGTAAGTAGAAGTAGCAAGATGTACCTGAAATCTTGCATGTTTATGAGACAGAAAAAGGGACACCAGCAATCCTACCATCATGTACAACAATTACAGGCTTTCGTTTTACACTCACTTGGCAGGATGGAAGTACCTCCCTGAAATTATAAATCTTCTTCTTTCAGCGTACCAGCCGTATCCTACCGAGGTGGGGTGGCCCAAAAGGAAAAACGAAAGTTTCTCCTTTCAGATTTAGTAATATATACGAGAGAGGGGTTCCCTTGCTCCCGGCATTTTAGTCACCTCTTACGACATGCATGGCTTACGGAGGAAGAATTCTGTTCCACTTCCCCATGGAGAAAAATTATAAATCTTAAGTAAAATTAAAAATTATCCATGATTTTGTGTGTGTGTGTGTGCGCGTGTGTGTGCATGTCACACAAAAAAAATAACTTGTGAGTTCATTAAGATCATTCTATTTGTTTCTGTGTTATAAATGGAACAAACACCATTGAAAAAACGCTCTCCTTGGTGGGCAATATCTAGAACCAAGTTTATTATACATTTTAGCCAAACTGTGCTAGCACTGGCAATTTAAAATAGTTCTCTGGCTTATCTTGTAGTTCACCTGACCTGTCCATCTGATATGAAAATGCCACCTCTGATTAGTTTCAGATTTTCAATATCAGTGTATATTAATTAGAGCAAAGGTAAGATTGTTGTTTGGCTTTGTGGGTGCCCATTTTATATATGCAAATAGGAAAGTGGTTGAGATGCAGTAAATTTAGAATGCCTTATCTGATTGGCTTCAAACTTTCAGTGCAGGTGCATTTTCCACAAAGGAAACTTTACAGTTTTAGTGAGCAGTGTGTCTTAATTTACAAATTTTATTAAAGAGAGACGTGTAGAAAAAGGATATATTTGTTAATACAGTAATATTTCACCTCCTTGAGGCTTTTACCAATATTTGCAAGGGCATTCCTAAAAATTGAGGGGTAGGGTTATATTCCTAGAGACATGAAAATTTTGTCTACATGAATTTTTTATCAGATATGAATTCATTTTGCATTTTGTAAATCATGTCTCTGTAATATGCTACTCTGTTAGACCATTGATCACAATTTGAATAAAATATTATGTTTGGTTTTTAATTTAGAAGGTTATGCATCAAGCCTGAAAAAATGGGTACCACCAAAAAACTTGGATAATTAAAAAGTTATTGTGGGTTGCTCTTCATCAAAATCATTGAATGAGTGAAGCCCAGAAATTTGTACTTATGACTCTGGTTGGTTGTTATTTTGTAAAAGAACAATATATTTATTTTGTACACTGATGCTTATTATTTATTATTATTAATTTTCAAATATTTTTAAAAAATTTCAAGGCCATTGGTGCTCAGGGTGGCCGTTATCTTGAAGCTCAGGTGCAGGGCAGCAAAGTACAGGCAGAGGAAGGTACATTGGTTATCTTGGCAGCTGGAGACAGAACTCTCTTTGACGACTGCCAGAGCTGCTTTCAAGCTATGGGCAAAAATTCCTTTTATTTAGGTAAGGGACATCCACTGTTCATCTGGAGTATATCATATCACCAATTTTGGATGTATGTTTTGTATTAGCCTGGGTATTTTAAGTATAGATTTTACATAAACTAGCTTGTGCTGAATGTTCATTAAACAACATACAGCAAAATTTTGATATAACAGATTTTGGACTTAATGGACACTATCTCTAGCCAGACAACACCTGAAAGCAACGAAGTCCATTAACCCTTTGAGTGGCCATCACATAGATCTACATTATTGATACAGGGGTCCCTCATGTGGGTCTATGTTTTGATCACACCTCCCTCTGATAAGCTGTGAGTGGCAAATTTTGGCCAAGGTATGAGAGAATTGGCGAGTGTGTACGGTAGAAAAAAAAATCGTGCCCCACGTGGTGCATGATGGGAAAAGCAAAAGTCTGACCTCTTGTTTTGTTTATATAGCAACTTTGAGGTGTTTTATAGGATGGTTTTATTGACTGTTTTTGTTACCTTTTGATTGAATAGAAGGTTCACTACTGAAGTAGAGATGTTTTTGGTTAGTTTCAGGACTGGAAGTAACATGAAATTGGGCTCAAAATAGTGGAAATAATTGATATTTGAAGGTTTTCCTGAGGAGAGGGTAGGCCCCCTCTAAACCTTCTGGTCTGTTTTATGGGTTTTTAATAGGTCTGATTCAATTATTGGGATACCGTAAACAATGTCAATCATTCTTGGTTATATTTTATTATCTGAGAATTGTATAAATCTTCAGTTTTTTGTGTGATTATGAATTCAAAATGGAAGACTAAGTGTTATACAGGAGAGGTCTAGGGACATGATTAATGAACAGAGGAAATGTTGTTTTAGTTCTGGGAATGTCTACCTTATTTATTTTGGACTATTTTTAAATTTGAATTTTTTTAATTTTGGTATACAGTGGACCCCCGCATAACGATCACCTCCGAATGCGACCAGTTATGTAAGTGTATTTATGTAAGTGCATTTATGTAAGTGCATTTACGTAAGTGCATTTGTACGTGTATGTTTGGGGGTCTGAAATGGACTAATCTACTTCACAATATTCCTTATGGGAACAAATTCGGTCAGTACTGGCACCTGAACATACTTCTGGATTGAAAAAATATCATTAACCGGGGGTCCACTGTAATTGGCCAAATTACCTTCTTCTGTACACTTTACTGGGTAATTTGAGTGGAACACATATTAGAATTGGGTCGAAGGGAGCATTGTAATTGGCTTTAAATAGGACTCGAAATGGGCAAAATTGCCAGTGCCTAAATTGCACCCAGACTGCTAACTTTGCATCCGCATTATTCTGTAAGTTTTCCATCAAATTTCATTCTTTTGGTGTCAGGGTTAAATCCAGAAGTGTTGATTATTCTTAAAGTCTGCTGGCAAATTCATCTTTCATTTAATGGACAAAGTTTGTTATTGTGATTTATTTCTTATTTTTACAGACAGTTATGTATTTACCAGAATTTTGTTATTGTTGCAATTTGCTGGGTAACTTTATTTTTGGATTTAACGGACTTAGTCCATTAGATCTGAAAATTGTCCCTTCCTGTTACCTTTATGGAAGAATGTTCTCATTCAGATTTAATGGGCATCAGCTTTAACAAACACCTATTAACCCATTAAATCGAGGTTTTGCTGTGCATACATGTTTATGTACAGTAATTTTTTGTCCTGTCTCCCACCAAGATATGGAACATATTCACCATTATTATTCAGTTGCTGCTTTGTCAGAAGTGTGCTAATATCACAGTCCAAATATCTCCTGACTGCAACATCCTCACTCCCTAATGCAGATTGCAGGCTTTATTTCCAACCTCTAGGACTCTAGTGTTACTAACTGGCTTTCCCTGAATCCATTCATAAATGTTTCCTTGCTCATATTCCAACAGCACATCAAACCATAAAAATTACTTTCTTCCTATCATTCCAATCTCACACACTCCCACAAGCCTGGTGGATGCTCAAACCCCAACCACTCAAAACCTTTATTCCCTCCCTCCAACCCTTCTGGGATGATTTCTGCTACTCCTTCCTTACATATCTTTGTTAATCTTACTCTACCCCATCCTCAATACCCGTCCTGCCTCAACTACCCCTTCTCAGCCATCTGAATTATACCCTCAAATGGTAATCCCACACCATCCTTTAATTTCCATGCTCTGAATTCTCTAAATCATGATCACACTACACATTGCACTCATCATAAAATATCCCCTGTGTATCTCATCACCTTGCTATTGTATGTACTGTACATAAATATATTTTTATTACTGTTTAGGAAATAATATTCTTTGTGTATATATTTTCAGTTGTATTTGTCACTTTTTTCTTCTCACTTTTCTCACTATTTCTCTTATTTTGTCTTAATTTTTTTTTTTTTTTTTTGTATGCTAGCACTGGATTTCATAATCCCTTGTTCACAGGTGAAGTTGGAAATGCAAGCAAGATGAACCTCGTGCTGCAGGTTATGGCAGGAGTAACGTTAGCGGGGCTAGCAGAGGGAATGGCTTTAGCAGATCGTGCAGGCTTACAACAGAAAGATGTTATGGAAATTATGGAACTTACCTCACTGGCTTGTCCACTCATGATTGAGAAAGGCAAAGGTAAGTTTCACTTTCTTTTTTCATTCTAAATTCTTATAAAGTATAGTATAAAGAAATATCATTTTGTAAAATGATAAATTTATCACAAAATTTATGACATTTGGTTTCTTGTAAATGTCTTAGGTGCTGATTCAACATATTTTTTTTTTTTTGTTGTGTAATAAGTGGAGAATTAGCTTTAAGGACAATGTTTAGGAATATTTATATAACATTCTGTTCTCTGCTACTTGACCTTGGAGTTCTACCAAATTTTTGCACTGAAGCATTGAGCACACCCTTGACTAACATGCAAGTTATGTTCCTCAAAATTGGTTCTTTATTCAAAATTAATATTAATCAAAGTGAAGAACATGTGGGAAACAATGGGGCTACACTCCTAAAGTTTCAAAAAAGGCAAACATTTTTGAAAGTAGAACAGAAAGAGTAAAAAGAAACAACTTTGTCTTATCTTAAACTTTGGTTGTTGTTGCTTGTTGCTAGGCAGGTGTGTAGAGGGATTAATGTGGCCCTGTACAAACATGGGGGCAGGCAGTATCAGATACTACCACTACACATCTTGAATCATATCTTGTACATACTGTACCTTAATTTTCTTAGAAGATGTTGGAGTCTCCCACACAATTTTCTTCTTGGTATCTCCATTATCGATGGAGGCAATAATAATGTCGAGGATTGTTGGATAAACACACACGGGTCAGTCACACCACTCTTGCAGAAAGCCATTGTAGACAGCATTGGTGCAGTGACAATACATGATACTGGGCTTTTATAAAACAAAGGCCTTGTCCACAATTACACAGACACTCAGGGTTTTGTATGTCACTCTTAAGAACTTTACAAATTACAGCAAGTTTGCTGAGAGTTGTCAATACAACTCATATTATAGTTGCTATTTTTTCAGTTGTGATTTGCATTTCAGCTTGGTAATATAATTGAAAAGCAGCTATTTATACATTTGGCATGGATAATTTTCTGAAGGAACAGTGAAACTTTGGCCAAGTGCTGAATTTTTTATGTTACTTCTTCTTTTCAAAAAGAATATTTTTAATGTTTTTATTGCTTTTTCAAGTATCATTTCTTCATTCCTGTTATTTGGCTAAGTTATTTTTATATAGCCAGACTTGAATACTGGAAATGGGAAGTACAATGCCTGCACTTTAATGGAGGGGTTTGGGATATTGGCAGTTTGGAGGGATATGTTATATATCTTTATATATGCTTCTAAACTGTTGTATCTGGGCACCTCTGTAAAAACAGTGATTATGTATGAGCGAGGTGAAAGTGTTGAATGATGATGAAAGTATTTTCTTTTTGGATATTTTCTTTCTTTTTGGGTCACCCTGCCTTGGTGGGAGACAGCCAACTTAAAAAAAAAGTATTTATACTAAGAAAATTAGAAGTGTCTTTTTCAATTAATGATTCTTTTCTGTTTCTGCACTTACACTATAGCAGCATTTGGGAGTCTATTACAGTCTTTTAGTTTTGACAGTTTTCCTAGTGACTTGTTTGCTCCCATCTCTAGAATCTTCCCTGTCCTGTCTTTGTATTTTTGTGTGTTCCCATTTTGGTTTTCTAGCTTTTTCTATTGTAATTTCCTAATCTTGTATTGCTGCTGAATATTTATCAATGTGTTGATGACTTTACGTATGATATAATCAAACTAGCATTCAGCAAGTGTTACAAAATTTACTTCTATGCTTGTTTGTACATGAAAGATTATACAGTGGAACCTCGGTACTCAAACTTAATTCATTCCTGAAGGCTGTTTGGGTGCTGATCCATTCAAGTATTGAACGACTTCTTCCCAACCATTTTTCTTTTTGGTTGACTGTTATCACTGATTGTCACAGGCCCCATGGTGACTTATTTTTACAAATAATATAAAAAACACCAAAAAATGTGAAGAAACATGAAATAGTGTACAGCGAAGTTCTGGCAAGTCATGTTTGTTTGGTCAAGTGCCGAGCTTTGTTCAAGTAGGGAGCTGTTTGAGTACCAAGATTCCACTGTATTTGAGTGCCTAATATATCTGGTAAATTCTACACCTCCACTAAAGATATAGCCAAGCCTGTATTTTCTCATTAATGAACCTAGCATTATTTAGATCTGTTATTACGTTTTATCTGTTGGTATTTTTTTTTTTTTCAGCTATTATTGAAGGAGGATTCCCAACACACCTGCCACTCCAGCATATGCAGAAAGATCTTCGCTTAGGGATGCTCATGGGAGACATGCTGGAACTTCCACTCCCACTTACAGCTGCTACAAATGAGGTTTTCAAGCATGCAAAGCGACTTGGATATGGAGAACATGATGTCTCTAGTGTTTACATACGCACTCGGTTCTAACAGAAACTATAAATGTGATTTTTCATTCATTGCAAAGAGAACAAGAATAAACCAAAAGCATCAGTAAAAATGTGCATTGCAAATTATGTTTTTGTAATAGTGGTTTCTATCAAATTATATGTTTTACCTTATTGGTATACAAATATCTCCACTACACAGGTCAAAAATTTCATCTTGACAGATTTGATCTTAAATTAATACTACCAAAATTTTGATAGTGCATTTTTTTGATGCTTTTTATTACATGCCTGACAAATGCAATGTATTGAGTGATGTTTTATTAAGTGCAGAGTCATTGGTGTCAAGTGACTGCAAGATGGACAGGTCAGTATGTTGATAGTTAACTGTGGAAGAATTTGGGTTTGTATAGAACCAGCTGTTAAAATTTATTAAGGTTTATTGGCTTGCCCTGATATCAACTGAGCCATATACAAGTTTGTCCATTTGGCGAGTCAGTCCTAACTCTTCAATCTATCTCTTTAGTCGTAAGTATGAATGATTTATTGGATGAATAGATATAATTCTCAGGTCATCACTAATTTGTCAAAACACAATCATGCAAAGAAAATAAAATTTGCTGAAGCTTAGACAAAAAGTGAGACTTGATTTTATTATATTAAATAGAAGAATATTTTCGCAATATTTGTGTTTTGTTATGTAAGTTTTATATAAGTCATTAAGGATGAAGTAGTTTAAAAATAAAAAGTTTATCAATATGGGGAAGCAGATGTTGAAAATACAGTCTGACAGTCATTGCTCACTCAACAGTCATTATGGATATCAGAATGCATAGGTTTATATAATTTTTACAGTTTTATGAAAAAAACTTACCCTTTTGTTAGTACATGTATTTTAATTAGTTCTGAACATGTGTAATTGTTACACCTTTTAAGCATTATTCTAAAATTACTCTTTGCCTCTTCACTTGTATAGTACAAAATTACCTGCATACTGTGTTCTGTATCTGTGGATTGTATTACTTGTATATACTGTATAGCTTGACTAGAGAACTTATAAGGACCAACAGATACACACACACACACACAGTGGAAACGAACTCCATACAGAGATTCAAAACAGTATTTAACAGGGCTCAATCATGGTCAATTAGTTGAAAGTTAGGAAAGTTGAAAGTTCATATAGAAAATTACAAATAGATAATTGCATAACTATATTCAGATGTTCATATTCTGTGGTATAATTTTGTTAGTTACAAACTATTAAATTGTATTTTATAAATTAATTATTTGCAGCTTAGATGTATTGATTATATAATAGGCAAATTTGCCCTTGCCAGAGATCCTAGGTCATAAAATTTACATTAATTAATATTTTCATAATTTAAAAAAAAATAAATGTAAATAGAAGCTATGAGAGGGCAACATGCTGTACTTTTGATTGATTATTATGGGAGAAAAAAATATTAGATGATTAATTTTAAGTGCAAAAATATGTTTGAAATTTCCATTATTTTTGTACATGTTATAGCAAGTTTGTACAGATTCATTTGTGAATGTATTAATTTCATTCCTCAAATCATTTATATGCTAAAGATCAAACATTTCCTTGAAAATTTAGAAGCGAAGTCGGAGCTCGGGCCGTTGTGTCCCCTCAATCAAATTTTTTACATGCCTGGTTTACTTTTGATGTGTCAGAATTGTGTGCATATTGTGCATATATCTGTCACAGCAGTTCTCACATTGTTGACTCATAAACATTTAAGTGTTTACTTGCAAGATGCTCAGCAGGAAATATCATACTATAGTATTGTATTAATCTTGAGTTGCAAGACAGAAGTCTGGATACAAAGCTCTTCTGAGCTCTCATACAATATTTAGCAATTTTGAATGTATTTTTGTCATAGTAAATTCTAAAATACAAAGTGTGGAAGGTTTCAGCATGACTGCTTTGTAAGAAATTATATTTTTATTTGATCATTTACTTCACTGGATTATCTGTTAGTTGTATAATTCAGGATAAAAGGGAAAACTTTATATATGAAAACTGCTAAATTTCAACATAGTGTGAAAGGGCTGTAAGTAGATCAATTTTTTTAATAAAGTTGAAATTAAATTTTTCTCTTCTTTGATAAACGAGCAAATTTTAGGTACATTACTCATTTGCAGAATTCAAATACAGACACATCTTGAGAGCCTTCCAGGCACCTCAAGATTGAATTGTATTATTTCTTGGTGGATACGTTTATTTTTATTTCTTTGTCCTTCATTGCATTTAAGTATTGCATAAATTTCTTGTTTGCATCACATATGGTGCATGTAGTCTTAATCATATATTGCAGGTGCTATATGTATTTTACTTCCATATTTTAGGTGTGACAGAAGTTCCCTTAAATATTTAATCTTTGACTGCCACAAGCCCTTTCTGAAATGCCATTCTATTGTCGCGCAAAATTTTGGAAAAATTTTGTTTTTTGCCGATTTGAGCCCTTGTTTTTGGTAAATTCTGTTGTTCCAGTTGACCAAACTCATAGCTATTTCTTTAGAACTCCATTTTTTCTATCAGTTGAGTACAAGAAACTGCCCATTTACCAATTTGAACTACCCAATAAGTGGATCAGAACTTGGCAATTTGTCCAATTTCATGCAATGTTAAAAAAGATTGCCCAATTCAAAATAGGGTCCAGAATAAACAATGTAGGACATTTTGGCACTAAAATAAACATATCCTCTGTTCCATTAGTCATATGTTCTTAGGCCCCCTCTTTATATTACTATTGCTTTCCATATTTTATTTTTTTATTCATACCAAAAAATTACAAATTTTACTGTTATGCAGGACTAATGCATATTATTGTAAAAAAGGGTATAATAATATCATTGCACTAGAATGAAAGAATTATTAGACTCCAGTTGTTGTGTAATTAGACGATGTGGTGTGATTTGCTTACTCCTGAACATTGGTAAAAATCTAAACGTTACCGCTAGTTTGAGATCAATTTCAAGGTCGTTTTTATCGTTTGAAACTCCCCCCCCCCCCCCCCCCCAATCAAAATCATCTCTATTTCTGTAATTATGTTTTCCATTTTATCACGTGAGACCATGAAAACGAGAATACAACGATAAATACTATACGAAAATAACCTCAAAGTTGGAGTTTTAATTCCAAAAAAACAGTTTTTTTTTTTTAGCACCTTCTCCAAAAACAGTGATATTGTGCGGGTGTGGTGGAAAGTGTTGATTGATGATGAAGTATTTTCTTTTGGGATTTTCTTTCTTTTGTTTTGGGTCACCCTGCCTCGGTGGGAAAACGGACCGACTGTTGAAAAAATAAAATAAATATATATATATATATATATATGTATTTAATATTATTTTTTTTTTAACAAGTTGGTCGTTCCCACACGAAAGGCAGGGGGACCCAAAAAAGCAGGAAATTCCCCAAATAAGAAAAATACTTTCTTCATCATTAAACACTTCCACCACACTCTCACTTTATACACCTGCTTTTAGACAGAGTGTGCTAAGAATACAACAGTTTTAGAAGCATATTCGTATAATAAGATACACAACTATCCCTCCAAACTGCCATTTATCCCCAAATACCCTTCCTTTTAAGTGCAGCATTTGGACTTCCCATTTCCAGGCTAAGTCTGACTTTTTGAAAATAACACGGGTGCCACTGAATCCAGTCACTAATGACGTAACCGGCTCAATTCACTTACAATCTGGTTGGCTGGGTCCAATATGTACCTTGCGTCGACCTGTCGCAGACTTGCGTTATCGCTCTCGACAAGCGGGAGGGGTTGGACTTGCAACGGGCCTCATATTCCGCCGGGTCCAATCTCAGCGCCCTCAAGGGTGTGTGGTGCGTGTGTGGTTGTTTGTGTGGTGTGTGTCGTGTGTGTGTGTGTTGGGTGTGTGTGTGTGTGTGAGTGTGTGTGGGGGGGGGTGGGGTTGT